GGAAATGATCATGCAGACAATGGACCCCGGACTAGGTGCGTTCCAATAAGTCTTCCTACCAATATGACTAGTTTGGCACGTTAACCACTCGGCTGCTTTGCCAGGACTGCCTTTGGGTCAGAGGGCAAATCTCAATTTGAAGGTAGGCCAGGCCTTTTCGCATATCACATTCTTTGGTAGGATTGCCGAGGAAGCAAACGTATTTTTCTATACTAATAGACTACATTTCTTAATTTTCCTAGATAAGTAGAGTCTCGTGGCTACTAGTAAATCAGTTATATGAGATGTATTCACCCTATTTCGTTAAGATGTTGATAAGACTTATGCTAGATCGAAACTGCGGTCCACTCTGGATAAGAAAAACTTTTGAGAAAGCGAAGCACTGCCAAATTCACTGGAAATCTCAGCTCTACTCATATCATATTGTGGGAAAACGAAATAGGGTGAATACATCTCATATAACTGATCTACTGATAGTGACGACACTACTTATATACACATTTTTGTAGAATATATACAGAATATTTCTTGAGACTATTGAGTGCTTCTGTCAATTTTACGAGTAAATCTCAGTTCCAAGCCCTATGTAGCTCAGTGAAGATGCCAGTTACGATGCTGTCAAAACTTATGGAAATATATTTAGTCAAATTTTTGATGCCAAATGAACACATGGTAAAACTGTAAAAGGACGTTTTACAGTGCAAATTCTTTGAAGTCCCGAATAAAGTACGACTCAGTTACTACAACGAGGTAAATACATATATAAATCATGTTTGTTTTATTGTAAATGAGGTTTTCGAAAATACCAGTAAATCAAAAATATGCGTTGTGTTCACCCTATTTCGTTAATGTGAATAAGGACGGGTAGTTGATTTTCCCACATTGATTTGAGTAGAGCTGAAGTTTTTCATTAAATTTCACATAACATAGATTTCCCCAAATGTGTTCTCATCCAGAGTGGACTGCAGATACGACCTCACATATGTCTTATCAACACCCCAAGCGGGATTCGAACAATGACAGTGCTGTGTGTAAGCTCGATACGTTAGCCATTCCGCCACATTGCCACGAGTTCCCTTAGGTCAGAGGGCTAATGTGAATTTCAAGGAATGTCAGGCATTTTCCATATATTCTATGTTGGGATTGTCGATGAAGCAAACTAATATTTGCTATATAAATTGACGACGTAGGTAACGAATTCATAAGAATTCTATTAATAAGAACCTCGAGATGGAGAGAGAGCAAAAAGTATCGACGAGCAAGGAGATGAGGCTTGATTAGCCTCAAAATTGATTTTCACTTTTAAGCTCTACGTGTCTAATGGGCATTGCATGCACACAACACATCTTAAATGGAACTCAATCACATACGACACCATTGCATGATCAAACAAAAAAGATAAATGTTTTAAGGGAGGATGCCTTTATTCGGTAACAATTACATCTATTTCACACTTAAATGCAGCTACTTTACTTTTCAACATGGATCCTCAGCCAAATCATGAGATGTCTCACTTAGTGAACCTAGCCAAACAGATTACACGATGGCAGCATAAGGATACCGATAGAGTGATCTATCTTTTTATCTTGCCCCAAATATGTAGTTTCCTTCATTCTATTTGACAATATTCTAAAATAGTTGTCAACCCGCCCTTCTAGATAATTATTATCAGCCAGAATTCTCCTAAGCCTTCTCAATTCCTGGTCCCGATGCTTAACATCTGTCACCTGCAGACTCCTTATTAATATCGGCTTCATAACTCCTACTTTAACATCATAAGTATAGTTGGGAAATAAATTTAAAAGGAAACAAGAATTTGTGGGTTTCCTATACATATCTTGACCTAATATGGTCCCCTCTTTGCTAACTATGACATCAAGCAAAGATAAACCATTGTTAGGGGGGATTTCAGTTAGCATGAAGGTGAATGAAGAAGAGATTCC